ATAATTTTCAGCAGTTTTTTAATGATTTTGATAGTTGAAAATTAATTTGAAAGTATTTATAGACGTTTAAAGTATCTCTTGTTCTTTGAACTAAAATAGGGATGTAAAACGATAGAAGCTAACCATTTTATGGATGAATAAAGCTGACAAAAAACTTAATGTGCCAAACGTCATATTCCTTTCAAGTTACGGTTTTAGTTGTTTTAATATTAGAAGTTCAACGTGTTCCTTTAATTAACCAGTGCGTCAGGAAAACGACGTACATTCAGAGGGCTTGTTGCTATGGGAAACTAACCGAAGCTCTGTAACGTTCATCCGCATAGGGCTGACGTGGCTAGCGTCTAAGATATTGCTGTTGAAATATCGATCCCAATCCCATCATCCTCTCTTGTTCTAATTGTAGGCGGTCATATTGCTTACAGGTAGAGACAGCAGTGCGGAAAAAGAGAGGTAGGAGTTTTGGTTTAGTAACAATTAATGCTTTAGATAGTAAAATACCCCAGATTCTGAAATATGTATTAGAACAGAATGCTTTATAATCTACAAAAATATGTTTAGTAACTGTATATCCTGAAAATATTAATACAATGCATACAATATGAAGTTACTTATATATTATTTTCCTTCTCTATTTTTAATTCAGTGGCAAGTGTAAATAACTCTAATTATGACATTTATTGCATATTTCGATTAAACGTCACTACATCTCACCTGATACAAACTACTACATATCTTCACCTATAATAAAAATAAATAATTTAGATAAAAAATGCCTCCACATATTTTACTGCTTAGACATTTTGATTAAATTTAATACCACACTTACGAACAACTGATTATCAAAACAGCTTATCGTGGCTTTAGAGAAATCTTTACCAGGGACTATTAAAATAATAATGATAGCACGTCTAAAATTATAATAATGATAGTAACAATTAATAATAATAATGATGATAATGATAATCACATTAACTATTAATAATATTAATAACTAAAACATTAACTGATCGTAGTAACTAAAAATAATACTAATTATAGTAACAACTATTTTGCATTTACAAGCTCTAAAAGCCTTAACATATCGCCAGTACCATTTTGATCACAGCTCTGTTTCAATTCTGAAGTCTTTCAGATATACTATGCAGAAAGAAGACTGGTCAGTAAGCTGTGTCGGTGGATTTCTAGCCACTGTCATGCATATTTAAGGAAGCTAGTAGTGAAGTTATACAATTTGTGTGTAGAGTTTGTAGGAGAAATTGAAGGCTGTTCTAAATAGGGTAGAGGCTATGAGTAAAGAGAATGACAAACTGAGTGCGTTCTATTAAGCGGCAGATTTCAGCCTTTAGCTTGTTCAGATGATGAAATTGAGGAGGAAAGGATAACAAAGGGGACAGGTAGGGATGGGAGTGGAAAACATAAGGAGGTGATTGTTATAGGAGATCCTTTAGTACGGCATGTGGATAGGATAGTCTGTGGGATAAATAGGGAGAAAAGAATTAGACTATGCTACCCAGTAGCACAGGTGGAGGATATAATCGATAGAGCAAATAATATAGTAAAGGGTTTGAACAGTAATGCAGTTTTTATAATACACATAAGGGCTAATGATGTATGGCAGGGTAGGTCAGAGAAGCTAACTGTTAAATACGGTCTTGGCCAAATTGTTTGCGCTGTTTTATATTGATGTTATTTTCTACATGCATGGAGTACTTATTGAGTAAATGCCCGAATAATAACAGAGAAGGTAGCCTATGATCGGATAAATATGTATGAGCTGTTATTATGGTCTGTATAAATTGGTTTGAGCATATGTTCATCAAAACACACATAAACACCTGTTTTGTATAAAAGGGTGTGTTTTGATATAATTTTATTCGAAACAGATCAACGGTTTTTTCAGACGATTTCTCTGTACTTGGTGTAGAGTCATGCTATGTCACATGCAGAAGTTATTGTTCGACTGTCCAAAAACGTTATGAAGCAAACGGACATTGCCAGAACAGTAGGAGACCCCCCCCCCCCCCAGTTCACTGTATCCGGAACCATGAAACATCATTGGACTACAGAAAACGTTGTTCCAGGAAAGTCTAATGGCAGACGTCGAAAAACTGCTGTCCGAGATGACTATGTTTTCTTCAGGTTAACATGTCAAGGTCGAAAGAAGTCTTGCAACACCTTACGATAAAAATAACATGAACACACTTATTCCAGGGTATTGAGAAGAACAGTGAATAGGAGGTTGACCAAACAAGATTATTTTGCAAGAACAACTATCTGCAAACCGATATTAACCAGAATTCACCGCCGTCACCGTGTTACTTGGGTAAGGCATCATGCAAACTTACATCTAAGACATTTGTAACATGTCATTTTTTTCCAGATTGTTAAAACTGATGGTAGGATTTGTGTTCGTCATTTCTTGGAGAACAGATGAGGGAAGACTGTCTCTCCTATAGGGAACACATGTGAGGTGATTCAGTGCATGTTTGGACAGCTATTCATCATGGTGGAAATACTGCTCTTCATATCTTCCAGGAAAACGTCAATTGTGCTCCCTATATGTAACACATAGAGACGATATTTCTGCCATATGCTAGGGCAAGGTTTGGCAATAACTTTGTGTTTCAAGATAACAATGCCACTGCCAACAGTGTGTGTATTGTACAGGGTTATCTCAACCAGAAGGACATTACAAGATTGGCATGGCTAGCAAAGTCTCTAGATTGTAATCCTATTGAGAACTGTTGGGCAGAGCTGAGCCAGAAAATGGCTAGCCATGACCCTAAACCAGATACTGTAGCTGAGTTGCAGCGATTTAAAGTAACAAGTTGGATGAAATCACGGTGAATTGCATCAATAACCTCATCGATAGTATGCCATATTGCTATGCTGAATGTTTAATATGAACTGATGTAAGGTTACAGACGCTATTTATAATACTTTGATAGTATATTTTGCCATTATATATGTATTGGTAAGGTTTTGTTGATGAAGTACTCATCTTTCTACAGGTGTCTTACAAAATTGTTTGCTTTTCAAATAAATCGTTCATGATCTCCTTAGAACTTGTCTCATTATACAAATGTAGACGTTTCATATAACATCATTTCTCAGTTTGACAGTGCTAAGTGTATTTATATTCCATTTTAAAAATTATAATTTAATTTGTTTCAACATATGCAAACATTTTGGACAAGGCTGTAAAGGGCCATAATACCTTAATTCTTTCGCGGATACCACTAAGACTTAACTATAGGGATGAAATTATAAATAGGTCACTAGGGCTGAATGCTAGGTTTAGGTTAATATCTAAGGAAGAGCAGGTTAGCTGGTCGGATTTGTGGGATGTGTTCAGTGGGAATAGGAAGCTTTTTTTAGTGGATAGTTTACATTTAAATAAGGTAGAGGCTGGTTTGTTTGCAAGGGTTATTAACTCCACTGTTAAGGCAACTCTAAACAAGGATTAGACAGTAAAAAGGCAAGAATAATGAAGAAGAAATTTGATACAGAGATAGATATAGTGCGATAGCAAGGTACAAAGGAAGTTTTAATGGTAGACTACACTGTTATTATTGTAATGATATAATTAAAACAAATACAATGGATGAACTCAGAGTACTGATCGGAACAGAGGATTTTGATATAATAGAAATAACTGAAAGTTGTCAAACTATAGACAATTTTGATGATAGGAATTTATTCGAAATAGAGATAATAGGTTGTTTAATAGGGATAGAGTAGTAAAAAAGGTGGAGGAGTTGCTATATATAGAAAATATGAGTTACAGCCTGTTTAGGTTGAGGATATCAAAGCTAATAGCAATGAGCTTGAATATATTTAGTTTTCTGTTAGTGGTCATAAATAAAGGGGAGAAGGTTTTTTAGATCATCAGATGAAACTAATAAAACAATGAGCAACTATAATGTATTCATCTGTTAATGAGGTTATAATGATGAGGGATTTTAATTTCGGGTATATAGATTGGGAAATGTGAGAGACATTTTTTAGAAACTATTCTGCATGGTTTTCTTTAACAATTGGTTAGTGAACCTACTAGTAACAAGGCCATTTTAGGTTTGTTGTTAACTTTAAATACAGTAATGATTGATAAGGTAGATACTGGGGAATATCTGGGTGCAAATGATCATTCAAAATTAGATTTGATGTTTTCTGCATATAGAGATATGGAATAACGAGATTTTGATTCAAATTCTTTTTAAAGCAAATGAAGAGATGGGACAGGTATTCTCTGCTTTGAACTGGATAATCGAATTAGTTGGAGATACTGATAAAATGTGGAAATAAATTAATTGTATTG